GTGTGTGTGTGTGTGTGTGTGTGTGTGTGTGTGTGTGTGTGTGAGATATATCTCTCTCATTTTAGCAGGGGTATGGTTTTGGTTTGGGAAACACTCAAGTGACTCAGCAAACTTAGGTATCAAATTAGTACTGGGGCCAGAAGGACGGAAGCCAGGATTTTTCACCTCAATCCAAGTGTTCTTTTCACCACATTGAGCTGCCTCTAGTAGTTTTGCACTCCCATACATTGATCTGTTTCAAACATACAGAATCCCAATGGTCAAAGGAGTTTGTGCACAGCCTCATAGGCAACCTACCACTGACTCTGACCAGGATGGCAGTCCTTACGACAGCTCGATCTCCTTTTCTCTTGTTTGAAACAGACTACCTTGGTTACTAGATTTGTCATGAGATATGATTAAGGCATGAGATATGATTAAGAATTTAGGAAAATTCAATCAGCTAGCATTTATTAAGCATCTACTGTGTTCCTGGCCTTGTGCCAAATGCTAGGGATGCAAAGAAAGGCAAAAAACAGTTCCTGCTCTCAAAGATCTCACAGGCTAATGGGGGAGGAAAAAAATTCAAACAATTATGTACAAATAAACTATGTATATGTATGTATGTATGTATACACATCTATATATCCTCCAATTTATCCTATGTGTGTATATATAATATATACATATATATGCATACATATACACATGTACACATAATATGCATGCATACATATATACATATACAAAATATGTATACATACATATACACACAATATGTATACATACATGTGTGTGTATACACATACACACACACACACACACACGATAAATTGGAGGTAGTCTCAGAGAGAAGACACTAAGATTTAGGAGTACTTCCTTCCAGAAGGTGAAACTTAGCTGAGACTTTGAGGAAGCCAGAGAAGCCAGGAGGTGAAGATGAGGAGGGAGAGAATTCCAGGCATGGAGGACAGCCAGTGAAAAGACAGAGCTGGGAGAAGGCATGTTGGGTTTGAGGAACAAAAGGAAGGAGGCCAGTGCCATTGGATCACAAAACAGTGGAGGGAATAAGGTATAAGGAGGTTGGGAAGGTAGGAGGGGGCCAGGTTTTGGCTTTAAATGCCAAACAGAGGATGTTACATTTAATCCTGGAGATAAATGGGAGCCACTGGAGTTTATTGAAGAGGGGAGTGATATGGTCAGATTTGTGTTTTAGGAAGATTAATTTGACAGGTGAGTGAAGGATGGATTGAAGTGGGGAGAGAATTGAGGTAGGGAGACCAACCATCAAGTTATTACAAAAATCTAGGTGTAAGGTGATGAGGGTCTGGCACCAGGGTGGTGGTGGTTTCAGAAAAGAGGAGGCATATCTAACAGATGTTATGAAGGTAGAAATGACAAAACCTGACCACTGTTGGGATATGGGGATGGAGAGTGAAAGGGAGTGAGGAGTTAATGATGACACCTACATCGTGAGCCTGGGTGAGGGAGGATGGTGGTACCCTCTATAGTAACAGAGAAGTTAGGAAGAAGGAGGGTCTAAAGGGAAAGATAAATGAAATAATTAATTCAGAGCATTTTCTATTTTTCCTGACCCTTCATTGCTATGTCACCTTCCCCAGGGCTATATTCTAAGAGTTTGTTCCTTGGCAGCCAAAACTGGATTTTGATAATTTGCAAATGAAATCTCTCCTTCCTCTCCCCATCCTTTTCACCCAGGTGGGTCCTATCAGTCTGCTGGTGGTAGGTGTCATGATTATACACTGTATGGACATCCTAGTGAAGTGTGCTCACCACTTCTGCCACAAGTAAGCCTTGGTTATCCCTATTCTTACATGAAAGAAAGCATATAGAATCACCGGTACAAAGCATGTTAGAGCTGGTTAAAAAAAAGGGGGGGGGGAGGCTAAGCTGTCTATAACCTTTGACATAGAGATCACGAAATATGTAACCTAAGGGAGTCAGTGATAAAAAGAAGGGTTTCATATAAATCAAAATAACTAGGGCAGCACTTTTTGTAGTAGCAAATAATTAGAAACGCAGTAAATGCCCATCTATAAAAATGGGTGGAATAATTTATCCACTGCCTTTTTCACAAAATTGTGCCAGACCACATCACACAGAAAGTCACCTGCTCTGCCTACTCATATCAGATAGACCTAAAATATGGAGTCACTTTTTTTGCTTAATTGATGGTGAATGTGGGAAACATATAAATGCATTTATTTCATTGGAGAGAGAGAGAGAGAGAGAGAGAGAGAGAGAGAGAGAGAGGTTGAAATTTTGTTATCATGTTTAGTCTTCAGGCACATTTGAACTCAGGTCTTCCTGACTCCGGGCAATGAGGTGGCACAATGGGTATGGTGCCTGGTCTGGAGTCAGGAAGGCTCATCTACCTGGGGTCAAATCTGGCTTCAGACACTTAGTAGCTATGTGACGCTTGGCAAGTCACTTAACTCTCTTTGCCTCAGTTTCCTCATCTGTAAAATGAGCTGGAGAAGGAAATGGTAAACCACTCCAGTATCTTTGCCAAGAAAACCCACAAAGGGGTCACAAAGAGTCAAACACAACTGAAATGACTAACCAACGTCCTGACTCCAGGCCCTGTGCTCCATCCATTGTGCCACCTGTTTCAGTGACAAAAATGAATTTCCTTTAGAGAAGGAAGAAGAAAGGAAAGAAAGAAGGATTATGTGCCATTTACTGTGTTAAGCCTTTTTCAGATATATATAGATATAGATACAGATATTTTTTGCTTTTCTGGTGAGGCAATCCGGGTTATGTGACTTGCCCAGGGTCACAGAGCTAGTCAAGTGTCTGAGGCTGGATTTGAACTCAGGTTCTCCTGACTCCAGGGTACCACCTAGCTGCCTCCCAGATATATTATCTTATTTGAACTTCACAACCCTGGGATTATTATCTCCATTTCACACTTAAGGAAACTGAGGCAAAGAGAGGGTGGTGATTTTCCTGGAGTCACATAATTAGTTAGTCTCTGAAATGAGATTTGAATGTAGATATTCCTGATTCCAAGGTCAGCACAGTACCTATCAAGTCCCATACTTCCTTCTAGAGAAGCAGCCTGGTGCAGTGAATACACTGTGGACTTGAAATAAGAAAGGTTCTGAGATTCACTTGACCTCCCTGAGGTTCATTAGTCAAAAAATAGGATCTTTTAGTGGCATTAGTATAGGTAAAGGTGATAAGAGCCTAAAAAAAAAAATTGCTTACCAATTGATACAACGTTCTCAGGAATTCTTTCATGAAAAGTAGATTAAATAATTATATTTATCTATCTATCTATATAATCTATCTATCTATCCATCTCTAATTTATCTATCAGTTTCTGATCTCACTTGTATTTTACTCATTATTTTCTTATGGCTTTCAAAACTGGTGTTACCAAGGATGTGGGCATACTCTTGTCCAGAATAGAATAATTTTATCCTCTTGTATCTCCTTCATTACGCGAATTGTTATGTCGCTGCATTATCGTTAGACAACAGAGCCATTCCTTGATGCCAATTAGAACTATTTTTACTATTATGAATAATGCTGCTGCCACTGCTGCTGGCACCATACCATTCCCTGCATTTAGCTACTTTCCAGGGCAGTCACACTGACTTGGTGTTCCTTCTGTTGGACAGCTGGCTTCCTTCCTGTGAACTGTTTGGCCTATTTTTTTAAGAGCTAGAGTAGGAAGGAAAGATCAAAATAATCATAATATTAGCATAAGCTAACAGCTCTATAACATTTTACAATTTGCAAAGTGCTTTTCTCACAAAAACCTCGTAAAATAGGCAATGCAAGTATTATTATCCCCATTTTAGAGATGAAGAAATAGAAGCTTGGGAAAGGTTGGAGTGATTTTCCCACAGTTTACCTGGCTTGTAAGAGGCAGAACTGGGAATCCAGTCAAAGTTTTATGACTTTCTATTCAGTGCTTTCTCCTTACAAGACACTGCTTCTTATGACCTTGGTATTCACACATAGGATCTAGAATTCTAATTTTTGCTCTATCCGAGCTGATAGCGCTCAAGCTATAAAAGCCCTCACTTCAAAACTGGTCCAATCTCTGGAATCTTTCGTGCCCTAACACCTTCATTCATTAATTTAAGAAACATTTATATAGTCCTACCTCACCTCCCCCTCTCAAAATTCCTTGCTTCCTTCAAAATTCTGCTTACATGACACCTTCCAAAAGAAGTCTTTTCTGACTCTCCCCCCCCAGCTTCTAGTGTCCTCCACTCCAAATAATTTTGCCTTTTTTGATTTTGTATTCCCTTGTTTATATGCATGTTGTGCCCCCTGATAGAATGTAAACTCCTGTAGGGCAGGGACTCTTTCTTTTTTTGTTTTTGTCCCTCTGGCACCCAGAAGAGTGACTATGAAATGGTTGATTGCTTGTAAATCACTGTGCTAGAGGAGGTACAAAATTTAGAGGTAAATATCCCTGCTCTTCTGGAATTTATAGTAGGAGGATAGGACACAAACACAGATAATTATGATAAACAATATCACATGATAAGTAAACTTGTAAGATAAAACAAAGTGTTTTGTGAGATCTGAGGAGGAAGGGGGATCAGGGAAGGCTTCATGTAGGAGGCAGTATTTGAGTAGAACTCTTTTTTTTTAATTCAATGGACAAAGGGGAGGACGGACATTCTCAACATAAGGAACAGTATGAGCTAAGTAACAAGGCAGAAAATGTTCAAAGGACAGAAAATTGTCTGGTTTGGTTAGAACACCCTTATATGTTCTCCTATGTGCAACCTGGGATCAAAGGTCCATTACCATCTCCAGAGGCTCCTGTGGCTGCTCTCCCTTCTTCCCTCCCTCTCCGCCTACCTGGCCATAAAGACTGTGAGTTCAAGTCCAGTCAGACTTACTGGCCCAGATGCCCTGCTCAAACTCACATCTCTAGGTTTCCAGTTTGGAAAGAGCTCCTGTTTCTGTTTCATCTGTCCCATTCTGACTCTACCCTCTTTCATCACAGGATCCGGGAAGGTGGGACCTGGAACTGCAAATATTTCTTCTCTTCTAAGCCTGACAAACTGCTACCTCCTTCTCCCTTAATACTTGTGTTTCAGAGTGACAGTCTACCAAAACAAAAATGACTTTTCCCTTTTACCACAGTCAACCCAAACCCCAGTCTCGCTCAGGCCAGCTCTATCCCTGCCTGGTCCCTGCCTGGTCCCTGCCCTCCTCAGCACCCTCTGGAGCCTCTGCTGTCTATCATTAATGAGTCCCTGCCATCCCATAGACTTTGCTTTTCAAACTCAGAGAATGAGAACTGAGAGTGGGAAGGGATCTCGGTGGTCATCTAGTTCAACCCATCCCCACTATCTCATACCTAATAAGTGGCTACCCAACCTTTGCTTAAAGACCCTCAATTCAGGGGAACCCACAACCTCCTGTAGCAGCCCATTACACTCTTGGATAGGTCTTAATTGTTAGGAAGTTTTTCCTTATGTCAAGCCTGGATTTTCATATTCATAATCTACTATTTCTGGTTCTGCCCTCTGGGACCAAACAGAATAAACCTAATACTTTCTCTGCATGACGATCCTTTTAATATTTTAAGAACAATGTCATGTTCCCCTTCACTGTTTTCTCCTCCAATCTAACCATCCCCAGTCCTTCAACCAATCATTGTATGACATGGACTCAAGGCCCTTCAACATCCTGGTTGATCTCCCCTGGACTCCTCCTTAAATTCTAGGGACCAAATATGAACACAGTGCTGCAGATAGGGTCCCACCAGGGCAGTATAGTCAGTAAATAAACATTTATTATGCACCTACTATGTGCCAGGCATTATGCTACGTCCTGGAGATACAAATACAAAAAAGAAAGACAGTTCCTGCTGATGATCTTGGATTTATAGACAAGGATGTCCGTGTCACAGAATTAATTATATCAGTGGCTTGTTATCACTATGGTTGGCATATTCAGGTGGCCATTGACCACACTGATATGACAAAGACATCTTCAAGCCCAAGTTTTCTACCTCAGGGATTCTAACCTGAGGATCGGCTACCCAAGTAGGACCAGTGGGCTGGCTCATCTTATAAGTGCATGAGGTCCTATCTACCTTTTTCTCGTGCATTTTTTTCCTTTTAAAAATCTTAACCCAATAGTTAATTACTGCTTCTGAGCAAAGCACTCCACCTTTGAATATGTTTTCCCCTTGTCCTACCACCACACACACCCTGCTAGTCTTCAACCTTATGTCACCCCTACCATCTGCTCCTTCCACTCCTACTCTTATGCTCCTGAATGCTACTGAAAGAAGTCATGAAACCATGTTGACTCCCTTCATTACAGCTCATGTTATGTAGTCTCAACTGGGCTCTTAGTGATGCACGTTTATCCTTCCATGGTTGAGTTTCTATCATGATCACTTCTGTGCTTATTCAAACCATCTCCTCTCTCTTTAAGTTTCCAGTACCGCTCATAAAACTCTTTCACCAGAGAAGACTTCATTTCTTCCTTTACTCAGAAAATAAATACCTAATAAGCACCTCTTAGTGCTCCTCTCCCCTACTACACACCTCAAAGTCTTTAGTTGACATTCTTAGTTAACCTCTCCTTTTTCCCCAAGGAAAAGGGGGTTCTTTTCAACTTGTTGAGACTAGTCCTTCTATTTATACCCTTGATCTTGATTTCATCTCCTCTTAGTGTTTGTCCCATCAGTTATTATCTCAACCTTTCTAATCTTTAATTTCTATGTACCGACTCTTTTGCTATTGTCTATAAATGTACCCAGGCTCATATGGTCCTAGATCATAAATCTGGAACTGTAAGGAGCCTTAGAGATCATCTAGTCCAAACCCTTCACTTTGTAAATGAGGAAACAGAGGCCCAGGGAGATTAAATGATTTGCCCAGATTCACAGAAGTAGTAAGCACAGACGAGAACCCAAATCTCTGACACCAGAGCCAGTATTCTTTTCACTGTACCATGATGCCTTATT